AATAATGCTACAGAGCATGGGGTCAGGAAGCACTGTGCTAAAATAGGTGCCAAGTTTCAGAAAGGATGTAAAACAGAGGTCCTGCCCACATGTGGTCATTAAAAAAAGGTCCTACCCACTCACAGTCTACAGCACTTGTAGGAGAGCTGCTAAGCCTGCTATCCACACAAATTTCATCTGAAGTAATTGGTCCTAATGAATGCTATTGCTAATAGTCTCAGACAATGCTAGGGACTAGGGATGGGATCCACAAAAGGACTTAGGCATTGTAATGCCAAGCATCAAGCCCAATGACTGTTCCACTGTGGCTATTTAGTTATTGGACCAGAGAGAATGGGAATTACTCTGTTGCCCTGTGGTTAGGGCATGCACCTGGGAGGTGGGAGACTTTGGGTCCAGTCCCCCTGCTCTTTCATAATTTTCCACAAGAGCTTCAACAGGAGAAACTAAGGGAGCACCACAGCAAAACATCCCATAGCTCAGTAGCTAGAGAACTCTCCTGAGAGGTAGGACACCCCGTTCAAATCCTCTCTTTTGTCTGCTGGCAGAAATAGGGGGAATTGACTGGGTCTTCCACATCCCAGGGGAGTGCTCTCACCTCTCGGCTATAAGTTATAAGGTGGTCCGCTCCTTCTCCAGCTGTATTTTGAATGGGACCCAATTTAGTAGGCACCCTGAAAACACACCAAATGCCTACCTTCCCCTCGTTTGTGGCTTGCTCTAGGGCTTAGTGGAAGATAGGTACCCAGGAAGACTAGAGGAAGGCAGCAGTGTGCATACCCAGAGACTGAAACATAGGTGTATATGAAATTTTTACCCTGAAAAAACTTTAAGCACGAAGTGAGTTTAGGTGCCTAAAGGATTGGCAAGAGTTTTATGGATCACAGTGGAGCCAAAACAGGATTTAGGTGCCTACATCCAAGGTTTAGACACTTAAGAACTTTTGTGGATTCCATCCTACATAGGTATGAAGACTCAACTATGCTCTTGCTGTAATGGATTTTCCTTCAGGAGCTTGCAGTCACTGCATGCCACGCCTGTGTTACACATGCCAAAGTACTTTTTCCCAGTGATGCTAGTCTGACACTTTTTCCCATTTAAGTTTATGTTCTTTTTCTGAGCTATGCACCTAAACTATGCTCTCTCCCTTACTGCTCACGCTACCTATTTTGTGCTGTGTCACTAACCCCTTCCTCCTCCTGCATAGTCACTCCTCCAACAATCTCTCTACAGCCTCTCATCACTCTTCTAGTTTTTTATCTTCTACTATTCTAGCTCAGTCCTGCTCTGGTATGCATGAAGCTGGTAGGCAGAACAACGAGCAAGGGATTCAGCAGAACTGGCCAAGGAGAAACATTAGTAGCAAAACTTTAAACAAAAGGTTTAATTTTGGCATATTACTATTTTACATTCTAACAAGGTCTGATTTTTTGGGAAAGGAGATTCATAGGGAGCAGTAGAATATAGTAACTGTATAGGCACACAATTACTTTATCGCAACTCACAAAGCTCCAAGCCCATATTTTAATTTTAAACCACCACTTTCAGCAGTCTGGTTTGAACAGTGACTTTCCATATAGCTTACTTCCTAGTTACACCATTAATTTGTAAGTACAAATAAATTGATACAGGAGTGGAGATTGTGAAAAGGGAAGAGTAACAGATGACTGCTTTCATAGGAGGGTAGGTGAACTAAACTAATCTGAACTGCTTTAGTTTATCACAAAGACATTTAATTTATTTCATTATACTCTGTGGGCAAGTTAAAGCACCCCAAAGCCTTAACATATTCAAGGAGATGAGTGTAGCGGACAAAGGCTCCTTCAGAAAGCAATATTTAATAAAACTTAAATTAGGTCTCAGAAGAGTCATAGAATGTATATTAACTATGGCACCAACACTTGAGATATTCTATTCATATGCATGTGTTTTAAAGTAATTGCCATTACACACACACACACATCCAAAAATGATTTTAATATAGGTATGGATATAGCTTCTGTTGAATCATCCACTTAATTTTTTGGGGTGTGAGGCTAGAGAAATAAAGAGGTCTCACAAGAGAGATGGCTAATGAACAGTCCACAGATAAGAAGGCTAAATGTTCATGTAAGAAACAAGAGACATTTTTTTCATTAGTTACGATGGGAGATGGCAAATCTACATCCAGATCTAAAGGTTTTCATTTTTCCAAATGGAGTGGGATATTTCAACAAATGAGTTAAAATACCCTAATTTGTCTTTCAAGTTTTGTAGAATGCATGTTTTAATAAAGTTATCATTTAGCTAGAATAATCAAGTTCATTATTTATTCTGATCAATATTTATAGAGAAACAGGAAGATGCCTAAATAAGTATGGGAAAAATCTCTACGATTATACAAGTCTGATTTTCCTCTAAATTCTTCATACATGGTACTACAAAATACTAAGTGTGAATCATAAGGCAGCCAAAAAAAAAAAAAAGAGCGTGTGCGTTTTGTTCTAAAGAGGGATTTAAAAAGAGGGAAGTGATTCACTGATTCAGGGAGTTACAGATTATTATGGCAACCAAAATGAGAAAGCAACTTTCCCCGCCAAATACTTGAGGGAGGCATGGAGGAAGGAAACTAGAAGGATATATAATCAAGTTTTGAAAACCAGGAGGGCAATTTTTAATTGTATGAAAAATAAATTAGTGAAGATGAGGAGAAAATGGGGGTGGTACAGCTTTATTTACAGAAAATAGTTTGGAGACCACATTCTGCAACTCCCCCTCTTCCCCACCCCCCAAAAAATACTTAGTAAAAGAGCAGGTATTCAATAAGAACATAAATGTGGAAGTGCAATAGCCAACGCCAGGCGCAATAAAAGACAACTAAGGATTCCACAGCAAGTAGATCAAAAGAAGGATGAACACTGGGAACGCTCTGGAGACAGTGATAGATCAACTCCCATGTTTAAGTCTAAGGAAGTAAAAGATGTAAGGTCTAGGACAACTATGATTTCTGGTCCTGAGTAGACATCTAAAGTCTGAATTTCTGAGAATGAGAGCAGAACCAGAGATACAGGACTAAGAGGATCAAAACAGAAAGACCGAGCAAGTTTAGAAAGAGGGAAGGTTAGGTATTCTATAAAACTAACATTCCTTCCCATCACCTTAGTCTTGATGCTGTGAGTTCTAACATGAAAAACATCATCAAAATTTTTCTTGTACCTGTGATGACCACAAGGATTTTAATGTACATTATATCGCACTAGAGCCAGAAACAAGTTGCTGTTGCTATGGTATTAAAGGATAATTTTAATATTGAAAATTGTTAAGGGCCTGCTCTTGCAGCTCTTAGTGATCCTGGTAATCCAACAGCAGTCATTTTTTCATCAATCTTTAGCCAAAGTGTTCTAATAGCAAGAGTCAAAACAAAACAAACAAAAACCACAGGGGTAGATCCTTAGCTAGTGTAAACTATCATAACTGACCTGAAGTCAATAACAATTTATACCAACTAAAAATTAGACCTTTGAGTGTACCAAGGTTAAATAATGCTTGAAAGACTTACATATTTCAGCAGACCGCTAGTATGAATCGGAGTCCCACTAGAACAGAAGCTCCTGGGTGAATTTTGTTTGAGCTTTCTAAGCTGCAGGCCAGACATACATATTACATTTTAGAACCAATGATCCTTCTGTTTGAGTTCACTTTGTTTATCCATTAAATCTCTTTAAAAGTACGCATCAGCTTATCATATTTAAATACCTTCCTTTAAGGCAATAATTAACTGCCTTCACTGTATCTGACATCTACAAGCTGCAATATCTGATTTGATTGACTGTCTTCAAAATGGAACATGCTATGAATAAACTGTAGAGCACTGAATGAAATCATGGAATCAGGGCCCTAATGCCTACAGCAATATTTTGTCTTAAGAAATAATTTCTGTGTTCAGATGTTTTCCACCATTATATTGCAACAATACATGCTCACAGAATCATAGAAACACAGGTCTGGAAGGGGCCTTAAAAGGTCATCTACTCAAGTACTGTAAGCCTATATTATACTATTCTTCTGCTAAACCATACAAGTTGCTTGGGCATTTTTCTTTCTAAATCCCTCTTTTCATTTTCAGTTTATACATCTACTTTATTGGGAATGGTCAGAATACAGTAACTTTTATTTAAATAGAAAACACATTTGGACATGTCCTTGATTTTTTGTACCCACTGTAGTTCACTAATATACTTTTATTAGCCAATTTAAAATGGCTAGTAAGGGTAGTTTCAACCTAGTGAGCAAACAAGACATTCAGAAACTGACATTCTAGAATTCCCATTAAACACTAAGTAAGATGAACTGCATAGCAGAGGTGCTCTTTAGACCTATCACATTAAACAGGTATATTCTCCTAAAAATTAAAATGCTTTTTATGCATTGATATTGGTTTAACAAATGATACTGTACATTTTATATCATAATTAAATTTGTATGCTGGACGCTACACAGACTATTTTAAACCTCAATTATATAAAACAATAATAGTGAAGTTGGTACAAATATTCCTCTTTTCCCATAAATACATCTAACGCCAAACAAAGTTTGAAGTTGTGTGGGTGTTTTACTATTGCTGTTCTTAAAAAAAAAAAAAAAAGTTACATAAATACCACCTTATCTTGGTCAAAAGTTTAGTAATTAAGTTTTAGGGACCCATCCCACAAACCGTGGCATCCAACACTAACTTTCCTCATCTGATTAATCCTACTAAAGGCAATGGGATGACCGATGCAAGTGTTTACAAGGTTGGTCTTTCAGACAGCAAATAGAAACTAAAAAGTAAAATAGTTTCCGTTATGTAAGTGAAAAATAGTTTTTACTTAAAATAGAAAGATTGAGTAGCTTGTTTCTTAGAATTTTGAAAAAAACCTCAGTACCAAAATTTAAGAACTTTGAAGAGTAGCTATTTACAGTATAAAACAATGTGTATATTATATTCAACTGCATATTACAAATCACATCTAGTAGAAGCATTTTGGTGTGTCAAGGATTTATTTAGTATGACCTGTAGTTTTATGAATTGGAAGTGCCATGTCTAGACCAATTATGCAACAGACAAGGATGAACAAATCAAGTCAAAGATATACAGAGAATGGAGTTGCAGATGATATCCAACCAATTCAGAAGGATCCCGAGGATTATCAGCTATCATTTAAAGTGCTGTCAAAATAAATCTGGCACATAAACTTTTCATTTTTTCAAACTGATATACATGGGTACTAAAACCTAGTAGCAGGCTAACAAATGTGCCATTGTTGGGTCATCTACAGGGCTATTATGGCCTCTATGAGATTTGTTCACTCCTGCACAAAAATAACTAGACACACAGGTCCAAATCAAAGCAGAGAAGGCAGACAGGGCAATGCCAGGAGGCGGCAAAGTCCAGAATCCATTTCTCCCTCTAGGACAAACTTCTCCTCAACATCCAAGGGCACGAGGCACCTGCTGCTGTGAGGCCCTTTCCCTCCTGCTGCGTGGGGCTCCTTGGGGCCTCCGCCAGATGCTGTGGCTTCTCCTGCAGAAAGCTCCCGTGCCTACTTCTGGGACCCCAAAAACCTGTAGGGCAGAGGAGCCCCGCTGTGAGGCGGCCCCAGGGTGCAGCCGGCTGGGTCCGCCTCAGGTAGCAAAGGGGGGCTGGAGAGAGTGATAGGGGCTCCTCACCCCAGTGACCTGGCTGTGGGGGGGGTCCTCCAACCACTGCGGAGCCCCGTCAGCCTCCCCCTGGTTATAGGGGCGGCACCAGGCTCTTCTTCTCCGGCGGCTGCTGCCCCGGGGGCTGTTGCTGCTCCCCGTCCAACTCCCGCAGCAGCTCATCCAGCTCCCCGTCCTCCTCCAGCCCGTCCTGGGCTCGGCGGCGCCGCAGCTGCTGCAGGGCCCGGCGGTGCCTCTCCTGCAGCCGCCGCAGCTGGGCCGCGAGCGCCGCTTCCTCCTCCTGCTGCTCGGGGGCGGAGCCCGGGCGGGGCGGCGCGTCGGGCTCCGGGCCGGGCCCCAGCAGCGCCTGGCGGAAGAGGCTGCGGTTCTCCCGCCTCAGCCGGCGGTTCTCCAGCCGCAGCCGCGCGTTCTCGTCCCGCAGCCGCACGTTCTGGCGCTCCCGCTCCTCGCGGGCCCGCACCGCCTCGCTGTGGCTGGCGGCCAAGTCCGCGTATCGCTCCGCCAGCTGCTGCGGCGAGCCGCCCGCCAGGCCCCGCCAGCCGCACGCCGCCTCGCCTCCGCCAACGGCTGCCCCCCGGCCCCTCCGCGAGCCCGCGCCGGGCCCGCAGCTCCAGCGCCGTCCAGCACCGCGCATGCGCCTCATCCGTGCTGTGCCTTCGCTGCTCTGGCTCCGCCCGCCTCCTCGGCGCAGCCGCGGAAGAGAGACGCTGAATGATGACGCTGCGTTATGCAAACGAGAGGGCGGGGCTATAGTCTGCTGGAGCGGAGGGGGAAGTGGTGACAGCTGTGAACAGCTGGGGCTGCCAGCTGTTTTGGTGCCTGCCCTTCCAAGGCCAGATGTGCAGGAGGAGCCGCAGGGGAGCACCTCTCCCTTTTTAAAATAGCAGAATTCACCCACTAAATCATTTGGCGAAGGTCAGGGCACCTGCTCTGAAAATACAAAGCACCAAAGCGATCCAGCAAGCCACCCTTTCCGAAATTATTACAAAAAGATTCAAATTGTTGATTACTATTTCATCATTATTTATTTATGTAGTGATAACAATATGCCCCCACTTTATACAGCATACACAAAGTCCCTGTGCCAAAGGGCTTACACGATAAAGGCCTGATCCTACAAATGCTACTGAGCATAGCGATCATACTGGATTAACAAAATCCCGTACAGGCTCTAGACCTGAAGATCTAAACTGACAACTAAATATATTTGTACTGCTTACTGCCAGGGATAGTTCCACTGAAGTCAGTGGAATTTTCTAACCGAAGACTGCCATGTGAAAAAAACTAATTTATATGAGTAATCCCACTAGAGGAAATAAAAGTCCCTATTGTGAAGAGCCCAAATCAATGTAATTCCATGGAGTGCAGATGTAAATGCAAGTAGGATCTGGGCCTTAGGCCTCAATCCTTCAAACATTTATCCACGTAAGTAACTTTCTATGACTGCGTAGTCCTACTGGGTTCATTGGGATTACTCATATGCATATAGTATTACATGTGCGTATATATGTTCAGGATTGGAGTGTCAGATTGTAAACTCCTTGTGATAGAGACCATGTGTTACTGTATGCTCTGCACAGTACTGAGCATTGTTTGAGCCTTAGCCAAAGCCCCATCAAGGTCAGTGGAAGGAATCCCATTGATTTGAATGGATTTTAGATCAAGTGCTCAACAAAACAGTAAATAATAATTTTTAGAACTGTTCCTTCCATAATAGGCAGGTGCTTATTTACAACATTATTTAAAAAATTGAAAATCACTGTAGCCTGGAAGTAATCTCAGTATTGCTGTAAAGTAATTTTGCCAGATCTGTTGGTCAGCAAAAATGAATTTACAGCAAATATTTCCAGTAATAAACTCCAAAGGAGAGGCTGACTGAGAGCGTGAAAATAATTTAATGCAAATAGGTGACCAATCTGAAATAAAAAGACACTAAAATGTAACAGTTTTACTGTTTGTGTTTAGAAAATTGGTAGACGTGCCTATCATCAGGGCACCCTGGCACTTTATATCAAAATAAGGGCCTGATCCCCAAAACTGCTGAGCCCCCTGAACCTCTGTTGAAATTAATCAGAGTAGAAAGTACTTATCCCCCAGTGGATTAGGCCCAAGAAATTATAGTGGGAGTGGGTGCAGTGTAGTTCTTGGGCTTTGTGTGATCAAGGCTCTTTGGGTAAAACTGTGATAACCTTATTCACACTGAATAATACCTTACATCATTGACCTTAATGGGATTATTTGTGGGTAAAGTAATATTCAATATGAGTAATGGCATCACAATCTGGCCCTTATTTTTATTTGTTTATTCATATATTTCAATTTCTTTTTAAAAAAATGCATCTACTGCACACTGCAGGCACATATACAAGGAGTTAGTAAAATACAGACAGAAATCAAAGGACCAATTTTCACATAAATACCATCCTCACATGCCAAAACTAACTTTGTCTGTGCCGCAGATTCCCCAGCTGTCTGTAAAACAATCCATTGAAATCCTTAGATGAAAGGTGCTATATAAGTACAAAATATTAAAATTATGATTTGGGGCAGGATTATATGCAACAACATAGGCAAGCATGAGCATAAGGTACCCTGTACTGTGCAGGCTACCTGCAGGGCAGGTCACAGTGAGAAAAGGAGAGTAGCCTTCACAGAGCTGCTCTACCTTGTCCCACAAAAGTGGGCAGGGAGTGGGCATGCTGGAAAAGGGAGTGGGCACAGTCTTGACTCTGTACTTGGTACATTGCTGGTGCAGTTTACTTGTCCCCTGGAGCAAATGGGGAACGGGGCTGAATAGTGACTCAGAATCACACCCCCACTCTATAATAGGTATTGTTTAAAACAACAGCACTGTCTAACTGTCAAGAATTAAAACCGGCAGATATAAAAACAAACTAATCCTATTTCTCTGCCAAAAATCTCTCAGAAGCTAAATCAAATAAAAAATCTTACATTTAAATTTAACTAGGCCCCAATTTCACAAGTGCTACATGCACAATTTAATTTGTATATATAATCCCATTGACCTGAGTTTCTCATGTTTGCAGGAACAGGGCCTTACTATAGGCTTTTGGAGAGAAAAGAATGGTACAGGAGACTGCTCAACATTTCCACAAAAGCTTTTTTTCAAATGGAAAATTGTTAGTTTTCTTTTTTTCTTTTTTTGGACAAAATAAAAAATTTTACTTACCTCAAAAAAATTGTTTTCCTCTGTTTCCCCCCCCCCCCACGCCCAGAAAACTGAGCACCCACTACAAGCTGCTCCAACAACTGGAAATAGCCTTGGCATAGGAATGCCACACCAAGTCTCCCTTTGTCTCCTGAATTGAAGGCTTCTGTGCAGAGAGTGGCCAGCTATGGTGACTCTATGCTTACGCGAGGACTCCCCGGATGCCAGGACAATTCCGTGGGTATTCTCGGTATCTTTATGATCACTTTGTGCCAGGGTAGTCAGTGTAATGTGACTGTGGGGCAATTGTGACTCAGATTCTGAAAATTTTTCAGGATTTTAAGGTAGCCGTGCTGAGTTGACCTGGAGACAGAGCCACTCAGTATGGACTTCAATCCATAACCTTGGCTCTGTTATGTGAAAGACAGTGAAAGGTCTAAAAATAGAGTACTGCATTTACACTACAGAATTTACAGTAATTTCAATACCTACTTAATAGATGCTGTCAAAATATCATGGATCAGTGATGTTATATGCCCAGCCTGAATGCTGCATCCAGTCCATTTGATGCATTTAGGTGGCCCAGAGAGATGCAGATTCTTCCGAATCTAAGCAGTCATTTCAAATGAATAAATAAATAAATAAAGTTTCTGGATTTTCTGGCTGTGAACCTAACTTCCAAGTGAGAAGAAAGTGTTCACTAATTCAATGTTGTCTTCTTGAGCCTGAAGAGAGCCTGAAACAATGGCTCTGAGAGACATGAACCAACCCTGCTGCACCCCTCAGCTCCATCAATCAAGCTGGAGTGTTGATTCTGAAGCCAACCACCACCTCTTTAAATGGAAGCATTAACTATTTCATTGCTTGTCAGTTTAGCGGGTAGAAAAGGAGTAAAACTCAGAGATGGTATG